GGCAGTGTGGATCCCTCCGCTCTAGGTTTTCACTGTCTGGGATTCCGTTGTTGGTCTGTGGCTGTTGCTTTTGTTGTATCTTGTGGGGGAAGAATTCACGGGAAAGCTCACTCCGCCATGATGCTGATGTCACTCCAGGTAGCAAATCATTTTTATGGCCAGTTTTGCTGACCAGACCCGTTTATTTTTAATTTATTGCATATTCTAAATCAAATATAAACTGAACCTAAAAATATTCTATGTCAGGTATGCTCTAAATGTAGTTACTCTCTTTCTTACTCTTTCTTCAAGCTAATTACAGTATTTTGTAGGAAAAACCCTATATACAGGCTACTGACTTGGCTCTTCTTTCCGCGCTTTCCAGCTGAAATTGATCAGGAAAGCAATTTCAGTGATGCTTGGCTGGGATCATATGTGGGTTTTGTTTTTGTTTTAGATTTAAGAAAAAGATAAAGTTTTTTTATTGTTAAAATGCCCAGTTTTCTTATTTTTTCAAAATAGTCCTTTTTTTCTGACTGTCTCATTCTTTTACTTTTTTATTTTAATGAAGTATACATAAAAAATTTACCATTTTTACCATTTTTGAGTTTGTAGTTCAGTGGCATTAAGTGCATTCACGTTGTTGTGCAACCATCACCACCATCCACCTCCAGAACTTTTTCATCATCCAAAACTGAAACTCTGTACCCATTAAACAATTGTTTCCCATTTCTGATGCCCCTCCCTTCCCACCCCTGGCAACCGTTCTAATTTCTGTCTCTATAAATTTGACTACTCTAGATACTTCATAGAAGTGGAATCATAAAATATTTGTCCTTTTGTGTCTGGCTTAGGATAATGTCTTCAAGGTTCCTCCATGTTGTAGCATGTATCATAATTTCATTCCTTTTTAAGGCTGAATAATATTCCATTGTATGTATATATCACATTTTGTTTATCCATTCATGCACTGATGGACATTTGGGTTGTTTCCACCTTTGCGCTATTGTGAATAATGCTGCTATGAACATGGGTGTACAAATATCTGTTTGAACTCTGCTTTCAGTTCTTTTGGGTATATACCCAGAAGTGAAATTGGTGGTTCATATGGTAATTCTATGTTTAATTTTTGAGGAATCACCATACTGTTTTCTGCAGCAGCTGTACCATTTTACATTCCCTCTAGCCGTTCACAAAGGCTCTAGTTTCTCCACATCCTAATACTTGTTATTTCCTCCCTCCCTCCCTTCCTTCCATCCTAAGGGGTATGAAGTGCTATCTTAATATGGGTTTGATCTGCATTTCCCTAATGATTAGTGATGTTGAGCATCTGTGCATGTGCTTAGTGGCCATTTGTATGTCCTCTTTCGTCTATGGTTTCATAGCCTGTTCTCTCCTCCTGCCCCACCTTCCTCCAGCAGTACTTCAGGTAGTTTTCAGTGCCGTTAACAACTAGTCAAAACTGTAATTTTAAATGATTATATACTATCCTGCCATATAGATTTCCATATTGTAATGTTTTGCAAATGATAAGACCTTTGGGGGTAGAACTTTTAGGGTGTTTTAGTTGTAAATCTTAAAATGATGGACATCTGTATACATAAATATTTATTTTTTTAAGATAGATGGTTGGATTTGGTCAAGATCATTTTTAAGATTCTTGATATATATACACACACAGACACATATATATATATTTTTAAATTGCTTTCTAGAAGAATTGTTCAATAGTACAAGATTTGCTTCTAGTTGAATTCACTCCTTGTCCCACTTTGTAGGTGCTGGCAGAGTGGAATTGCTCAAAAACCTAACTCATCATCTGTTTTCCTTCTTTCAGATGTGAACTTCTCTAGTCTCACTCTCATTTCCATTCCCCTCATTTGTCCTATGGTTTGTACCTTCACTGCCATTTTAGTTGGAGTTGGTGAGGGAGCAGAGATTGCACATTCAATATGTCAATTTAATTGGAAATCTATAATGTTCTAAAATTCTGTGAATAAGGGCATAGTCCACAAGGTCAATCAGTATTTCACTTAAAATTTCAGCGAAGGCAGAGACTGAATTGCATACTTATATAAGTTATGAGTTGAATATAGTTAATATTCTAGACCAGAGGTTGGCAAACTTCTCTAAAGGGCTGGATAATAAATAATTTGGGCTTTGCATCCAGTCTTTGTTGCATATTTTTCTGTTTTTTGGACAACTGTTTAAAAATGTAAAGTATATTCTTAACTTGAAGTTTGTGTGTTGGATTTGGCTCAAAGGCTACAGTTTGCTGACCCTTGTTCTGGTTTTATCTGTAGTGATCTTGCTAGATGACATGACCCATTATTGAAGAAGAAATTATTTTCTTAATGCCTTTCTTAATAGAATTGCAAACTCTGATAATGTTCAGGTCATTTGATTTTTTGAGTAAATTACTGAGAGCTAATATTTATTTTAATTTTCAGATGGTGACCCTGATAACTATATTGCTTACTATCGAAGAGCTACTGTCTTTTTAGCTATGGGCAAATCAAAAGCAGCACTTCCTGATTTAACTAAAGTGATTGAATTGAAGATGGATTTCACTGCAGTAAGTGCATCTAAACTTTTTTTAAAGGAGAATTTAAGGGAACTTGGAAGAGGTAATTTGTTTCTTAAGGTGAGGGTTGGCGTGCTAGGCAAAGTTAGAGGGTATAGAACGCCACTATGATGTAGCAGCCTGGGCAGCAAGAGAAATTCAAAGCCCCTGGAATCAAAGGTCTGTGTGAAAGAGGATCAGTGGGTGCAGTAGGTGATTTTTAGAAGCTTGGCAGTGCTGTTAGCTTTGTGGTTTAGAAAGATGTCTGTGTGGGGCCTGCCTGGTGGTGCAAGCGGTTAAGTGTGTGCGCTTGGCTGCGGTGGCCCGGGGTTCGCCAGTTTGGATCCCAGGCGTGTGCCGATGTGCTGCTTGGCAAGCCGTGCTGTGGCGGTGTCCCATATAAAGTGGAGGAAGATGGGCACGGATGTTAGCCCAGGGCCAATCTTCCTCAGCAAAAAAAACAGGAGGATTGGCAGATGTTAGCACAGGGCTGATCTTCCTCACAAACAAAAAAAAGCTTAAAAAAAAAAAAAAAGAAAGATGTCTGTGTGGATGATGGAGTGTAGGGCAAGATGTGAAACTGAAAAAGTTGATTAAGAGACTGTTCTGGTGAATTAAGAGGCTATCAGGTGACTGGTGACAGTTTCAATTACCAGTTATCTGTAGCAGGAAGAATAAAGAAGAAGGGATAGCTCAATTAAGCAGTGGTTTGTGGTAAGAGTACAATGCTGAATTAGACAGAGTCCTCCTCTGAAACAACACCCAAGCTTCAGAGGGGGAGGAATTTACAGTCTAATGGGATATCCTGATGATTGGCAGGTCACTGTAATGGCTTAAAATAATAGGACCAATGAGATGATTTCACAATTAATTTGGTAATTCATTTATTGTTTATATCCTGCTGTATTCCAAAAAAGGATTTGAGATAACTGATTAGATATGGGTGAATGTTTAGTTTGAAATATTACTATTATTTTAAGATGGAATTCCCAAGCGTCAAATTTTTCTTTGTTACTTTACCCAACTAAGCACAACATGTCACAAAGGTTATATAGCTCATTTTTCTTGTATTATAGTAGCTATTAGCTAATTGAAGTGGCTTTCCTCTTGCTTTTTAACAGAGGATTAGGGAAATTGTATGTACAGTAAAAGTAATATATAACTTTTAGTGGACTATTGATGTGATTTCTGTCTTATGGTAGATGTTGGTCATCAGAGAGTTGGTATTCTTGGAAGAGATGGGATTATGCACATAAGAGGAATATCAGAGATGATGGGGGGAGAAAATGACGCGTGTTAAAAGGAAAGAAGCATTGTTATTCTGGTTATAGTGGAGTAGATATTTGCAGTGAGAGTTAATAAAAAAACACAACTATTTCCAGAGTTTTGATTGGTAAAGTCCCAAATTATGCAACTTTTATTGTAGTGGCAAAAAGTTATTATGATGGCAAAAGTATTTTGTTTTAATTCATGTCTAATTCACATACCATCAAATTTACTCTTTTTTGAAGTGTATAATTCAGTGGATTTTAGTATAGTCACAAGATTGTGCAAGCATCACCGCTATCTAGTTCCAGAACATTTTTATCATCCCCAAAAGAAACCCTGTACTCATTAGCAGTCACTCCTCAGCCTTTGGCAACCACTTATCTGTCTCTATGGATTTGCCTATTTGGGATATTTCATATAAATGAATTCACACAATATGTGGCCTTTTCTGTCTGGCTACATTCACTTGGTGTAATGTTCTCACGGTTCATCCACGTTGTAGCATGTATCAGAATTTCATTCCTTTTTATGGCTGAATAATATTACATTGTATGGATATATCATATTTTTTTTTGATTTATTCATTGATGGAAATTTGTTTTTTTATACTTTTTGGCTATAGCTATGAACATTCATGAACAAGTTTTTGTGTGGCTACATTTTTGATTTTTTGGGGTATAGCAACAAGCATTTTTAAGAAAGCATCCTTTAACAAAGATTAAAAACATTCATTGGTTCCCAGAATTATTCTCAGAGTGCCAAGTCAAATGGGCATTGGAAAAATAAATATTTCATTAGCTTATTTAGTTTTATTTTCTGTGTTTAAAGAAAATTGAGAAATGCATAGTACTCAGGACATCTGTTCTTTTTTTTTTTTCTAGGCAAGGTTACAGAGAGGTCACTTACTACTCAAACAAGGAAAACTCGATGAGGCAGAAGATGATTTTAAAAAAGTGGTATGTTAAGTTCAATTTGTATTTGGCTCTATGAAGATGATATTTTGAGTGAACATATTGGACTTATTTTTTTATATTAAGACATTTAATAATATTTTTATAGCTAAACGGGAGAATTGTTTGATTTGTGTTATAAGAATCACAGTTCCTGTATTAATGCTTAGTGGCTGACATCAAAGAATCACTTTAATAGATGGAAAGTAAAGTGTGTGGAATAGATATATAATCCTAACTCAGTTTGTGTAGCTCACGTGTTCTGCTTTGTTCTCCATGAGAATCTAGAGATGTCAGCTGAGCTATTCCAAAAGTCCTATAAGTGACTTGGGAAACCCTTGATTTGATTTGAAAGGAATAATGAAACAGATTCTTAAAAGGGAATTTTGCAGTCGTCCATATGGCTACTTAACAAAGTGTAAAGTGTTTTGGATTTGTTGGAAGGATGTTACAGATTACATGTAATGGAAGGAGGTATATCCTAAAAAATGATTTGGAGAGAGACAGCTAGCCAGTGTCTTTATGCCCTCATTGGGCTTGTTTTAAGACCTGCATTTTTCTTCTACATGGATTTGTTTCTGGAGTGGTCTAGAAAGGGCAAATATATAATCCATTGTTCATTATTTGCATTTTTTGTAGTTCGTCAAAATGCTTAGTTAGTATGACGCTAACCACTATGAAAATAAAACTAAAATTTCTGACATTTTCATAACCTTTGTTATAATACTCAGTCATAAGCAGACAAATCCAAGAAACATTAGACTTAATTGTATTGAATCAGAAGCTGTCTCATGGTCTTAATAAAATTGGATGTCAGTTTATGTTTATCTGATCTCCTCTGCTGGTGGGGAAGATGCTTGAGAGCAGGCTGAAGGATAGGTCTTGGGGAGGCAGTGGTGCTGGAGTAACCTTTCCCTAGCCCATTCCTTTGTACTTAGCAAGGGTTGTATAAAAATTTGTCGAATGAATGAATGATAAAACGTAAGAATATGTTTCCTTCTTTTTAACAAGTGCTTACATCTATTACTTAGAATTTTTTTCTAATTACAACATTAGAGTAGCCTTTTAGAAATAACATGATTTGCTTTAGCACAAATTGATCCTTACTGGGCATTTGATGTATCGTTTTGGAAAAGTGAGTTTTGGGAACTTTGAGTGTGTCCTGAGTTAATGTCTTTTCTGTGATCAATGTTAAAACCTTTCAGAGACAAGAAGGGGGACTTTCATGAGACTTTCCACTTTAGATTGTTTTCTGACAATCATGCTTCTGCTAGTGTGTTCTTAAAACTGCCCTTGTTATTATTGTTATAGGATTCTTCCATGAGAATGTGTATCTGTGTTGAATGATTTTTTGTTTTTAATTGAAATTTTTATTGAGATAATTATAGATTTCCATGCAATTGTAATTAATAACGCAGAGAGATCCTGTGTACCCTTTACCCAATACCCAGTTTCCCCCAATGATAACATCTTGTAAAACAATAGTACAATATTACAACCAAGATATTAACATTGATACAATCTACTAGTCTATTCAGATTTCCTCAGTTTTACTAGTATTCATTTCTGTGTGTATACTTAATTCTGTACACATTTTCATGTATCCACCACTGCAGTCAAGATACTGAACAGTTCTGTTGCCGCCAGGATCCCTCCTGTTGCCCTTGTATAACCACAGCCACTTCCTTCCCATACTGCTCTGGCCCCTCGTCCGTAACTCCTGGCAACCACTAATTTGTTATTCATTTCTTAAATTTTGACATCTCAAAAAATGTTTCATACATGGATTCAAATGTTATGTAATCTTTTGGGACTGACTTTTTTTATTCAGCATAATTCCCTGGAGATTCATCCAGATTGTTGCATATGTAACTTAGCTTGTTCCTTTTAATTACTGAGGATTCCATGGTATGTGTATGGCACATTTTATTTATCTATTTATCAGTTGATGGACATTTGGGTAGTTTCCACTTTTTGGCTATTACAAATAAAACTGCTGTGAACATTCTCATGCAGGATTTAGTGTGAGCATAAGTTTTCATTTCCCTGGGATAAATGCCCAGGAGTGCAGTTACTAGGTTGTATGGTAATTGCATGTATAGTTTTATAAGAAACCGCCAGATTGCTTTCCAGAGTGACTGTGCCATTTTACATTTGTTTGCGTCCTCGTCAGCATTTGGTATTGTCACTGTTTTTCATTTTAGCCACTCTGAGAGATATGTAGTGATAGCTCATTGCTGTTTTAATTTACATTTCCTTAATGGCTAACGATCTATTCATGTGCTTATTTGCCATCTGTACATCCTTTTCAGTGAAATGTCTGTTCCTGTGTTCTGCCCGTATTCTAATTGGGTTGTTTGCTTTTTTACTATTGTGTTTTGGGAGTTCTTTGTATATTTTAGATACTTTATCACATATGTGGTTGCAAATATTTTCTCCCAGTCTGTAGCTCATCTTTTCATCCTCTTCACAGGATCTGTCACAGAGCAGAAGTTTTTAATTTTGATGAGGTCCAATTATTGATTTTCTTTTTTCTTCTGTGGATTGTGCTTTTGATGTCATCTGTAAGAACTGTTCATCAAGCCCTAGCTTCCAAAGATTTTCTCCTATGTTACCTTCTAAAAGTTTTATGGTTTTATGTTTTACATTAAAGTCTGTGATATGTCTTGAGTTAATTTTTGTATAATGTGTGCCGTTTAGGTCAAAGTTCACTTGTTTTGCCTTTGGATGTCCCATTGTTCCAACACCATATTTTAAAAAGGCTTTCCTTCATTTGTTGAATTTCTTTTCCACCTTTAAAAATAATCAGTTGAGGCCAGCCCTGTGGCCTAGTTGTTAAGTTTGGCATGCTCCATCCACTTCAGTGGCCCCGGTTCGAAGGTTTGGATCCCAGGTGCGAACCTACACCACTCGTCACCCATGCTGTGGTGGCGACCCACATACAAAATAGAGGAAGATTCACACAGGTGTTAGCTCAGGGTGAATCTTCCTCAAGCAAAGAGAGGAAGATTGGCAACAGATGTCAGCTCAGGGCCAATCTTCCTCAGCAAAAAAAAAAAAAAAATCAGTTGGCTGTACTTGTGTGATGTATTTCTGGGTTCTCTATTCTGTTCCACTGATCTATTGTGTTTATCCCTCTGCCATTCCTACACTCTCTTGATTATTGTAGCTATATAGCAAGCCTTAATAGCAGTAGAATGATTCCTCCCCACTTTATTCTTCTCTGTCAAGATTGCTTTAGTTATTTTCTGGCCTGTGCCTTTCCATGTAAATTTAGATAAACTTGTCTGTGTCTACAAAAAGCCTTGCTGATATTTTGATAGAAATTGCAGTAAACCTATAGGTCAGTTTGGGGAAAATTGACATCTTTATTATGTTGAGCCTTTCAACCATGAACATAGTATTGCCTCCCCATTTGTTTAGGTCTTCTTTGGAATGATTTTAAATGGCATTGTGTTTTTAATTTCAATTTTCACATTGAATAATATTTTTGTGATTATTTCATCAGGAAGGTGCTCACCTTGTACTTAATTCTGTGAGAGAAATCTTAATGGGCATCAGATGGGAGACCATGTTAAATCTTAACACTGCAGAAGCCGTCTTAAAAATTTATGTAATGGCAATTTTGTTGTGTGTCAGAATAATTATAATTAGATTGGATTTGGTTTAGGGAAAAATACAAGTGCAGAATTGATGCATTTCAGAAGTATTTTATGTTAAGGTTTATTTGAAGTAAATTTAGGTTACCTGGAATACCTGGACTTAAAATTCAGATTAATAACTAGAGAATCTTACATGCATATGCTTTGTCTGAACAGTAAATACAGTGTCTCCTAAAGGTATGTGGGCAGAGAGGGAGACAGGATCATGAAATGGGAATATTGAAAAGAACTTAGGAGTTAACATATATAAAATTGATTAAATTTTAAGCATTTGGAACCTAGATTCTATTGGACAAATGATAATGTAATCGTGGACAACACAAGGGATATAGATCTGAAGCCAATGTCTACAGTGTTCAGTCTTTCTAAATGAAGAGATGAACACTAGAACTGTTCGGAGGGACCACTGTCTGTTATGTTTAGCAAAAATAAATAAGTAATATAGAGCCTAATATTGATGGAACTTTAAGGAAATTTTACCAATCATATAATGCTGTTGACATTGCAAATTATAAACAGCTTTGTAGAAAAATCTGGCAGTAAGTATTGTGAAAGAAAAACATTTTGTGCAAAGATACTTACTGGAGCTCTGTTTGTTTTGGAAATTATTAGAAATTTGTGCCAATAGGATAGAATAATATTCATTAACAAGAATTGTTTGTGTATGGTGTGGATTTATAGACCCAGACATACAAAATAAAGTCAATTAAAAGGCAAAATAAAAATTGTATGTAAATGTTCTTTATAACTACAGAAAACTTTTGTGTGTGCTAATTGGTATAAGTGACAATTATTTAAAGTTTATAGCTATTTTCCCTTTTGTAAAGTTGTATACAACAAGTTCTGAAGAAAAAGAAAAGCTTTGGAACAGAGACAGGAACCTTGAGTTTTAGAACTGACTTTGTACTTCAGCCACGGTTTACACAGCACTCAGGATGTGTGGGGCATGTTGCTAAGTGATTTGCATGGATTATTTCACTTAATCATTGTTCAGATGTGAGGCAGAAAGAGAAGAGGGCAGGGTGAGGCTTAAAAGATGTCAGCAATAAAATGGAGTCAGACTTATAATTACATAAGGGAAAGAGGAATTTAGCATGACCCCTAGGATTTGGCTTAAATAATAAAGAAGAGCCATTTATTGAAGAGGATTGGGGGACTGGGTGGTGGCAGTGGGTTGGAGATGGGAAGTGGAACTCTGTTGGCCTTGTTATTGAGATGCCATTTAGAGTGTCCCATAGGAGATGTCAAATAGGCAGTTGCAGTCTGAGGTCAGTGTACACATAAGAAGGAATGGTGCAGAATGTGGGCTCTGGAAATGACTTTGAGCCGCAGTTTCCTCCTGTG